TCGCAGAGCTGGGGCTGAGGCAGCGCCGGCATCCTTGGCCTGAAGAGGTGGAAATCTGGCAGTGCTGGTCTGCGAATAAGATGGATTTTCGAGTGCTCGTAGGAGATAAACCCGTTTAACAGAATAGTGTTTTAAATGAGTGCACCCTTTTTAAAACAGAGGGGAGATTAAATTATAAATTAAGAAGCAGCTCTTCCTCTGAGGGTGCTGAGGCGCTGGCACAGGGTGCCCAGAGAAGCTGTGGCTGCCCCATCCCTGGCAGTGTTCAAGGCCAGGTTGGACACAGGGGCTTGGAGCAACCTGGTCCAGTGGAAGGTGTCACTGCCCATGACAGGGGGGTGGAAGAGGATGGGCTTTAAAGTCCCTTCCAACCCAAACCATTCTGTGATTCTATGAAAGTGGTTTAGTCTGAAGTCAGTCTGGCTGCTTATTTAACAAAAATAATGAACTAAGTGTTGTGTGTGGTATTTTTTCCGTGCTATACACTGAGACTTAATTTTTAGATTTTTCTTCTTTTTTTTTGAGAGTTTTCTGTCTTAAGCCTGACATGGAGAGAGCTGGGGAATAGGAACCTACCTAGGATCATCTGTGAGATACTTTAGAAGAGGACATAATGTCTGGCAAGACATTTGTTCCATGGACTGGCTTTTGCTGTGTTTCATGCTGCACCTTTGTCTCTTTTTTTAAGACATGAAAAGCTTGAGTCTGTGTGGTTTCCTTATGGATGCACCTTTTGGGCATATATGCAAAGTCAGCATTTCCTTTGACAGTAAAACAAACCATCTATCTGTCTTTAAGATTACTGCTGATTTTTTCCTGGTTAAGGAACCCTGTGTCAGGTTCCTGCTGTCCACCAAGAGAGTCACTGGTGATGTTTAGGGTGGGCACATGGAGCAGGTCTGTGTGAGGGTGTGGGGTTAGAAACTGCAGGAAGGGGTGTTGGGAATTCCTTGCTGGTGGGAGGTAGAAAAGTGGGGTGTGGGCAGAGGTCTTTGAATGCCTGAAGTATCTTCTGCTTTCTCATTTGTATAACCAGTTTCAAACGTGTCTTGCCTGTGTGTTCATGAAGTTAGAACTTGGGAGAAGCTGTGTTCCGCAGTGGAACAGCAGCAGGTGGATGTTGCTGCTCTGTGCCACAACCGTTACTTTCTCATGGTAAAATACATTGTTGCTCCTGGGCTGAAGAATCACAACTGTTTCATTGTTACTTTTTTCTAGATTATAGCATTTGATGAACTGAAGACTGATTACAAGAATCCCATAGACCAATGTAATACACTCAATCCTGTGAGTAGCGTGCTATAAGTTTGGGTTTTTTTAAATAAACATATGCAAGTGCTTGTTTTTGGTGTTATCTCGGTGTAATCAAACTAGGCAATAGAATTGCACCTGCGTTGACAAAACCAAGCTGTTTCATAGAAGTTCTATGGAAACTTCTTTGTCTGATTCTTTACTTTCAAGTTGAATATTCTGACTGTTGTTAATCTGCTGGTGATCTTGTCAGCTGTCATACTAACATTCTTTCAATCTGCTTTCTACGTTTTCGGCACAAAGACAGTTGAAAAGGTCAAAAAGATTAAAAGAGTCAAAATTGCATTAAAGGTGTGTACTGCTTTTCAGTTTAATGTTCTTAATACCACTTCCCTTTCATTTTGTTAGGATCGTTTGTAGTACTATTAAGCTGTTTTGTTTAGTGTGCCTGTTCATCTGCTTGCTCTTTGTTTGTTGAGGTTTAAAACAACTCCATGGATTTCCATATTTTGTGCAAAATGATTTGCTTGCTTACCCAGTGAAGCGGGGAAAACTGTTACATGCCTGTTAGACGTCCTCTTGGTCAGCTGAAGTAACTTCAGATAGACATAACTAGTGTTTTTCAAGATTTACTGAGCTCTGAGATTATAGGAGACTAGTTGTTTTTTAAGCATTGACCAAGTAAATTCTGATCTCGGAGGATTTAGGGGTTGCAGCCCGGTAGGTGTTATCTTCACTTCTTTGTTTTCCATTCCAGGATCAAGGGTGTATCTTGGTGTCTTCTCTTGGATGCAACTCCTGACACTCCTTGATTTATGAAAAGAATTTGAGGCAAACTATCTGCTTGCATCTGTAACAGGCTAATAACAAGAGGGATGCTTGTTAGCGTATCGTTTGATACAGCTGGGGTTTTGTACATTTCTCATGGGTTTTACTTCAGTGTGGTGTGCCCTGGCTGAGGTAGAATATAGGGGCAGCACAGCTGTGTGGCCTGGGTTGTGTTCTGAAGAGTTAAGTAAATTATGCAAATGGAAAATGAATTTGCAGTAGCTGGGGGCAGAAAATGCAAGTGTTAGACATACAGCACATCAGCTGCCAGCGAGTATTGCAGCATGAGAATGGGTGGGGAGGAGAGGAGGTGGCAGGCAGAGGATTGCATCTCGGAGAGTGAGGTTTGCCGCTCGATGGCTGCGCATCTAACAGTTTCCCTTGCTTGGTCTGTTCTACAGTCATTCCTGCAACAGTATGGGGAAAGGCAAATTCTCATTACATTTACGCATTATGATCTTATCGCAACCTCTGAAGTATTATAATGTGCATGTTTAATGCAAATATTAACCTTCTGTTAACCCACGTGCATGTAGTGTTTATTTATATGATAGCTTTGTGAACTGAAAATACTTGCTGTTCTTGTGAAAGTAGAGTAGCCACCAAAAGTGAAGTTAAGATCCAGACTCTGGGATCCAGTAAATGATGCTGGACAAATACACTGAAGTGTTGTTTGCCTCTGCAAAGAATCAAAAATCCTGGTGGGAATGGAGACACCTCAGTGGAAAGATTAGCCCAAAATAGTAACTGCACAGTATGCTGCTGATGCCATCTCTTCCCTGCTCCTGTTGTAGTTGTGTCTCTTCTCAGCAAGGAGATTTCTTCCTCCCTTGTTTCTGAAATAAATATCATGGTAGAATTTGATGTAGTTAATTTTCCTTTAGGGTAGCCAGGGAGCATCAGGTGCAGTGGGTTTGACAGACAGGTATTGTGGTGTGGGAGTAGGCTATAATAAACAAGAGAAAGAAAAAACCTGTTTTGAGATGTGTAGTTAAAATAAACTACAGATTTTCAGACCTGGTAAATCTGCCTCAGCAGGCTGCCAAGTGCATTGTGTTTTGGATACGTAAATGCCAAGTTGTAAATGGTGAGTATACAAAGAAGGATCTGGGTGAAAATATTTACTTGAAACATTTCCTGTGTGACAGTTTCTTTTTGTTGATGTTGATTCAAGTTTGCTTTGTTTGATATCCTTCATTTAGAGAAGCAAAATGTTGTAATAGCAAAGTGAGAATGTCTGTTGGTAGGTTTTAGATTTCTAGGAAGATATTTTGGGGGTTTTAAAGCAGGCTGCTTTGAGAGAATGAGCAAACTGCTAAACCACTGAAACTTCAATGCAGCTACCCTGTGCATTGCGAGTCGTATCACACACAAAGGGGCAGAATGTATTGTGTGAGTGTGCACACTTGTAGACAGTTGAAATCTTTGGGTAGAAGTGGAGTATTTTTCATGAGGAGATGTTTTAGTGTCCTGAGTTGAAGTCAAAAGCGTGCAGATTTCCTTCTTTCTGAACTGCATGGTGAAGGAGTAACCCCTTTCACTCTGGCGTGACTTGTTTTAGAAAAGCTTACTCCTGTGGTGGGTGTGGGCTCCTGCTGGCTCTTTGCATGTGTTTAATCTTTGTATCTCTCCGTATGATTCCTATTAATAGCACTAATACTACCCGGCATTTTGCGCTTTCTGTGATTTCATAGTAAACTGATAATTAGCTCTGTGGGCTTCTGCTGGGAAGCATGATGCTGGAAAGCATGCAGACTGGGGAAAGAAAACGAAGCTGGTCAACAAACTGTATGTGTGTGGCTGCTGTCGCGCCCTCCTCGCGCACTGCAGGCACTGTTACTACCGGTCCTTTACTGGGTGAAGCTCTGCCTGTGGGGCTACATCCCGGCAGTAGTTTGACTTTGAAAAGTGGTGTGTGAGTGAATACCAAAGCAAAGCTGTAAAATAGGGAAAAACAAAACATCTTTTTGCCTATAAACTGTTCTACGGAGCATGTTTCCTACTGATATTTCTCTGTTGCATGAGCAGAAATATCTCTATGATCTCTTCTGTTGTGAAGGTCACGTATAAAGCGCGGAATCTGTTAATGGTGCACTTTAATTAATAGAAGGAATAAAAAACATTGGTCTGAGCATTTAATTTTGTAAATTTTTCTTCATGGTTCATGAATATCATGTGAAAACAGCAAGGCACACACTGCTAGTTGTTGTTTTCACTTTCTGCAATCTTGTTAGCGTTGTTTTTGGTTTTGAATAATATTTTAATAGATTAAACCCCATGCGTTTTTCTTTGAGTAATTGAGACTTCCTAACTCATATTTTTCTTTTCCAGCTCGTACTTCCAGAGTACCTCATCCATGCATTCTTCTGTGTTATGTTTCTCTGTGCAGCAGAGTGGCTTACGCTGGGTCTCAATATGCCTTTGCTGGCTTATCATATTTGGAGGTAATATTGACGAGTCTGGCATCTGTACTCATGTTAACTGTTACTCATTCTCCTGTTGCAGAGCCTCCTGTTCAGTGTTCTGTGTCTTTGGCAAATAAAGATGCTTTCTGGCACGATATTGAGGAAGTTTACGTCTTGGCTATAAGAACCATCACTGCTTTCTCTGTTGTCACTTGTGGGTTTTATTCTCTTGTGCTGTGCAAGAATGGAGTTGCGTTGCGGGTGTGTTGGAGGTAGCTGACGTGTCAGAGGGGTACACTGCTGCAGGTTCACATTGTGGCTTGCAAGCAGAAGTAGCGATCCTGCTTTCCTCCTGCCACTGAGACGGGGGGCAGGGAGATGCAGGAGGGAGCTGATCTGGGTGACATGTAGCCCAGCCAACCAGCTTCTACCGCGCAGCTCTGTCTGCTGGTCTGCTGAGAGGAGGGATTGGAGGGGTGGAGGTAGGACTGTTCCTTTTGCTAGTAGCCTATGCTGAGCTACATTTTCAGGCTCATTTTGTCCTGGTTCATGTGAGTATTCCTTTAGTATGGCAGCCAGCATGTGTTCTGTTAATGAGGGCAGGTTGTTGGTTACACAGGGTTGTATGTTGGTCTCTTTTTCAGCTTCTTCAACCTTTTTATAAGGAATCCCATTTTTCATTTTTTCTAAGTTTGTCTTACTTCCTTTTGGTGTACCAGACTTCAGCATGGTTTAAGGCTGAGGTGAGCTGTCATGGCACTGCCTATGAAAGCTCTTCCATAGGCAGGTTCAGTTGGGAGCTTTGTATTGCTCTTGCAGTTTGCCATCTCCTACACGGAGCTGATGGACTTTGCTGAGGGGTGTGATTCCTTGTCCTGGTTCTGCTATTGCTTGGGGAGGGGGCTGAGGGTGGACAGGAACCAATGTTTCCCATTGCCATCACCACAAAACTAACTGTGCATCACTTTCAGATACATGAGTAGACCTGTGATGAGTGGCCCTGGTCTGTATGATCCTACAACCATCATGAATGCAGATATATTAGCCTATTGCCAGAAAGAAGGATGGTGCAAATTAGCATTCTACCTTCTATCATTTTTTTACTACCTATATGGGTAAGTTGGGTTTTAGCTCTGTCTCCCATCTGATGTTCAATCTGACATTTTGTCTTGTTGCACAAGAGAGATTTTGTATATAGGAACATATGTAGTGCCAACTTCCCTGAAAAAGAATCCACAATCACCATTTATTATGTTTTAAAATACAAGTCTTAATTTGGTCAGAATTACTATTTTGAATCTTTATACTGTGACTGGAGGCTGGAAAGCTTGAAGCTTTTCTCCTTTTAAGCATAGTATAATCCCCTGTGTTTTCATTAAGAAGCTGGAACGGTAATATTTGTAGAATAAGTAGTTACATTGATGTAAATATGATCTTTGTTGAAGTCAGAGGCAGAAGAGTCTTTCTGAGATTTGACAGGGGTGAGAGGCACAAAGGCCAGTGCTGCTGCCTGGTTCTTCCTCTGAGCCAAAACGCAGGTTGTCGTTAGGGTGGTGTGGCATGGAAGCAGCGTGCAGTCCTTCCTCTGGGCATGCTGGGCTTCCTGCAACATGGCTGCAATAGTTCAGGCTTTTGGCACATCAGTGTTGTGATTATACACGCTCCCTGTTAGCGTGTCACTTGCTCTAGTGACACCTGGCTGTTGCATCAGCTTGTGTTGTACTTTATAATGCCCTTCTGATGTGCTTCGTGTAAAGCTTCCAGTTACAATCCATGTACCTCTCAGATCTGTTCCTTAGATATATGATATACATGTATAATTAAATGTATAACACTAATGAAAATGATGCATCCTAATATTTTTATTTTATTTTCCAGCATGATTTATGTTCTGGTGAGCTCTTAAGAAGGCATTCAGCAAGCTTCGTTCCAGTTAAGTGCATGCAAAAGCCACAAAACATGGATTCTTTACAACGAGAACCTCTTACCAAGATTAAATATGGAATCTGGTGATCGCATTTGCATTAGAAAACAATGACCCCTCTTTTTAAAACATTTCCACATTTTATACTTGTGGAAAGACTGTTTTCTTATATTTTACCGGGACACTGAAATGAATGAATTACATGTAAGTTAATACAAAGATTACTGGGTTTGAAAAGTTTTGACTTTGCACTCCACAAGGAACAGCCCTAATCTCCACATAGATATTGGTTACTGACTAGCCTTAGCACGCTAGGGATCTCCTTTAGGCTGGGCTTTGTAGTGGCTCATCTGGACTTGCATATCCCACTCTAACTGTAAATCAGCTGTAGGTGCTGAGGGCTTGGGAAGGACTGGAAGTGCTGTCTGTGTTTTACCTGTAGGCGATGTGGGTCTTAGGAGATTCATGGACATAATTGCAAAAATAGGAGTTCTCTTTTGGTTTATTTTGTTTTTTTTCTTCTACCTGGTTAATCTTTCCCTGTATATGCATGGTTCAGAGAGTTCTGTATTTTCTCCAAACATTAACCTTGCTTTAATCTCGAGTATCTGTCATTGTGATAGAAGTTGAATTGTCCACAAAGGAATGAATTTAAATGATGATGGTTGTTTTTGTTAACGTGTGTGCTGTCTTATTACCAAATGGACAAATCTACAACATTTACTGAGTCCAATGATGAAAATACTCTTTGGGTAACTTTCTGTTCTGGTTTAAACCCAGCCAGTGACTCAGCACCAGGCAACTGCTCGCTCACTTCAGCTTTCCTCCACCCCTGGGCAGGATGGGGAGGAGAATCGAAAGCGGGTAAACCCCACGGGTTCAGATAAGAACAGTCCAGTAACTGAAATAAAATCTAGTGATAATAGAGAGAATACCAACAATAATAAGAAGAAATGAAAGATCAGAAAACAGAAGTGATGCACAATACAATTGCTCAGCCCAACCCGAGCAGTGATTGGTCCCTCCCTGGTAACTCCCCCCAGTTTCTATACTGGGCATGATGTGCTGTGGTATGGAATACCCCTTTGGCTAGTTCTGGGTCAGGTGTCCTGTCTCTGCTCCTTCCTGGCTTCTTATGCGCCTCCTCACTGGAAGAGCATGAGACTGAAACATCCTTGGTTGGGGTAAACACTAAGTGACAACTGAAACATAGGTGTGTTATCAACATTATTCTCAGATTGAAGCCAAAACACAGCACTGCACCAGCTACTAAGAAGAAAATTAACTCTATCTCAGCTGAAACCAGGTCACTTGTGAAATTTCTCTTGAATAATATTACAGACCTTTTCAAAGCAGAAAGTGGGATTGTAAAACTGCCCTGCTGTTCCTTAGTGCAATAATGATAATTAAAAAATGATTCTCAAATTCAGAAACACACACTTTTACCTGGTGCCTTGTTTTGTTTTTAAACAGAACAGCTACTTGCAGTGTTCACCTGTTAGTTTTATGATGGATAATTGCATTACCTTTTAAAAACAGAACACTGAATCGAGTTATGTCTGGAAAAGGAAAGCTCTGCTTTCCTGCTTTTTGTTGTTCCTGGGTCTGCAGATAAAAGGTACCTGGGGTGGGGGGTAAGATGTTTCAGGTAAACTGATAATACTGCATTGTAAACTGTGACTGCAAACAGCTGCTGAATTTAGGAGTAATAATTAGGAATCTGTTTCATTTACCTGTGCTGGAGAATAATGAATAGTTGCCCAGTTTTAGTAAAACTTTTTTTATAAACTGTGTATTTGTTCACTGTGGGTGTCTTGGATGTTGGGTTCAGTAACAGCTGTATAAATGGCTGCACCGGGTTCAGCCAGAAATTCGGATACTCCAATGCTGGTGTGTTGGACAGCAGCAATGGCAGAGGGAAAAGAATGTGAAACAGGGCAGGTTCTGAGTATCTCCGCCTGAGCAGTGAGAGAATGTATTTGGATATGTTACAGATGTCCTGAGCTACAGGTTCAGCATCTTCAACAGCCCTTGAACAGCTTTTCTTCCGTTAATTCAGTTGCTTTTTTGAGCACTTTCATAACCCGCTATGGAAGATAGCCCGAGAGGCAGTGAGTTCTGCAATGGAATTACTCTCTATGTAGAAAATACTTGTTTAAAAGTTCTGCTGCACTTCATCTGGTGCCCCTAAGCTCTTATTTTGTTAAAACATATTGAAAATTTCCCCCTTGCCACCTTATTTATGCCGGGCATGATTGAATACACCTTCTTCACATCATCTGTCCAAGCGGAGAAGCCCATTTAACCTCTTTTCTATTGGAATTCCTTCTGCAGCTTTGTTAAACTATCCTTTCTCCTCTGCAGATTTTCCGTTTCTAAGCTGTTGTCATCACACAAAGTGTGGCTGCCCAGGGAATTGCAGTGGCAATTTCCTCCTTGCTGCTTCTGAATTCCTCTCCTTTTACTATAATGTACTGGGGGTATGAGAATTCAAGCTGTGATAACTTCAAACTTTCTTTCTTAAAAATAGACACCTGGCACCTTATTACTACATATATAAAATTGTTTTTCTCACATGTGTTTCCTGGTTGCATTTATTGACTCTTAGCTTCCCAGGCCATCCCTGCTCAAGCATTCAATGTGACAACGTGTTTTATTTTCCCAGCTGTCCCAAAACATTTGTGCCAGTCACAGGCTTTAATGCCAGGGCCAGTGTTTTCTGTGCCTCCTCATTCCCATTCCTGAATACTTTTCTATCAGTTTTTAGTTGATGAGGATTTTCCTCCTTATGAATCATAATTTGAGTTTTCAGCAGAATAATTTTTGAAAGGCTTTTTGGAAACCTGGGAATATTGTTCCTGCTGGATCACGCTTACTCTGCTGCTTAGCTTCTTAAGAGACGGCTGTAATGCAGCAGCAAAACTGGTTAATCCCTTCTTACGTTCATATCTTTACTAATCTGTTACAGAAATGAGATTGACTGGCTCATAACCCCTTGGCTGCCTCTCATTCCCTTGGTACTGGGCTGCTGTAAGCCAAGTTAGGCTCCACAGTAAGAGATGTAGGATGTACTGCATCCAGCTGGTAGCTTCTGAACCCCCCTCCATCTGTGGAGGCTTTGCCCAGGAATATTTATCATAGTGCTTGCAACACTTGCACTGTCTCAGTGATGACCGGCTTCCCACACCTAATATAAAAGTGTCTGTGAGTATTCCTGAACATGGAAATTCAAGAGGTGGGAATGGCACAGCAGTTTGGCAGCACAGTTCTGCTGGTGAACCTGAATTCACCATTAACCCCAGGAGCAAAATGCTTATTTGGAGCCTGCCCTGCCCACTGTGGGTCAATACAGGAGAACTGAGGAATTTCACTTGACACTTTAAAGTGTCAAAACATCACAGGGAAAGGTCAGAAATGCAAGTTAGGAGTTAAAAAGTCCCATGAGAACGCAGCGTGATGGTGGGGCCTTAGAACGCACAGTTTTGGAACTGGTCTCTGTACACTTTCTTTAAAAAAGCTTAGTGTCTACCAGCACCCCTGAGCTGCTGGGTGGTATGAACATGGTCCTCTACCTGGTGCCTCACTTGCGAAAGCCCCTGGTACATGTGGAGACCCACGCACGCTGTGCAACTGGAGTACCGGCTGTTTTGCGTCCAAACTGTGGACCTGATGATAATTCATCTCTGGAGTTCCAGGAGGTGAAAGATTATGGAGAAAATGAAGCACATTTCTCTCTCTCAGTAATTTTCCTGCTAAGCTGTCTTAAAAGGCATATGATAGATACCTACTGTCTGAAAACCGTCAGTTGCAAGGATCAGGCACTGAGGAAGGGACAGACACTTTCCCTGTGTTCCTTCGTGTGCTGGGAGCAATGTTGGGGAAGGAACAACTCACATTTACATCAAAGTATTTCCTGTGATTCCATGCTGTGGAAACTGGAAGAGTTCCTGTTGTCTGCTTCAGGGGTGGAGAAGGGAATGGCAGTAAAAGCCAATTAAATATCATCTGCAGAAACTGCGTTTAAGCATGTGTTCCAAGTGTCTGGGGTCAAATACTAATGGAGGTTTTGAAGTTAGCAGCGAGATCTGCTTCAACTCACAGCCACTGGTGCTGTGGTAGAGTCTCATGGCACAAGTTCTGACTTGAAAAGTTACCAAAACTCTACCCAAATACACCGTGAATGCTTGAGTTGCTATAGCAATAGGGAAGTGCTGGCTGCAGGTTTGGGGAGCACAGGAAGGTGCTGGTGTGGGGCAGGTAACCAGCTGGTCTCCTGAAGCACTCAGCAGGGAAAAAGGCACTACAATTAACTGTGGGGAAACAGGAGGACAGTTGGGATGCTGACACACCACTGAGAGCAGCCACACAGTGACTTCAGCCCATAGGCAACAGTTCCTCGACACTGCTGGTTTGTCTAATAGCGGAAGACACTCTGTTTCCTGGAGTCAAAACTTACGTCATAGGGCACCAGAGGATGCCTGGGCACTGAAGCAGATGCTTGTCACTTCCTCAGGATGGGACACAACTAATCTAAACGTTTTCTTCAGCAGTTTGTTTATCTTCCCTGGTCTTTATGAGTGGAGATAGTTAAAGAGGAGGGATGTGGATTGTTACAGGCATCCTTCTGTGAGGCTCTCTTCAGCCCACAGCTGACTATTTACTTTCTCTAGCATCAGTATGCAGAAATGCTGTATCACAAACTCACCCACACAGCTATGGGGCAGCAGCTCTTCCTACCACATTCATGTAAAACCCCACCCACTTGGTTTGTCACAGATCTCCAGTATAAAACCTCCTTTGGGAATGAGGGGTCTCATTCCTAAGTAGCGCTGAACACACCAAGAGCAGAACTGTAATGTTTCAGAATGAGCTCTTACTAGTTCAGAGGAGCAAGCACTCCAGCAGGATACTTTTCATATTTGACTTTCCTTTGGTTTAAAGCTAGAGCCAAGGGATTTTTTTTTTGTACAGCCCCTGGGATGTAACTTTCCTCTAGTTACATTATCCCAGTATAACACTCTTACAAAGGCAGCAGAGGAGGAGTTACCCTTCACCTCCCATCCTTTTCCCTCCACGCTGGAGTAGAAGCCAGCCTATCAGCACTGGAAGTCTGCACTTAGCTGTGAGGAGATACAGGCTATTGTTTCCTTGCAGATCCTGCCTTCAGATCCAATTGCTTGTACCAATTCTCACACTATGCGAAGTAGAGATGAAGTCAAACCAAAATGTAGTTGCTACTTTGCCAGCCCAGCCTCTCTTCTGCTTTGTAAGTACACCAAAGCAGCCCTTTGGAGCTCAACATGAGAAGTCAGACTACTGGTTCAATGGCAGCAGACACACGTGCAGTTGGTACCAAATGATGTTAAATGTGAAGTAGACATTGTAAAAGAGTCGCTATTATATTACAAAGAAGCTCACGAGGCATGCAGGCCACCAGCAGAACAGCAATGAACACAAATACACTTCCATGTGTTTTTAAGGCTGTGCATATTAAAGACTACTAAATAGAGGAAGATGCTGTGTGTCCTATAGGATTTCCTTCCCCCGCACCCCAAAGCTTTACACAGATTTGGAAGCAAGCAGCTGTGTCATACAGGCAGTACCCATGAGGAAATTGTAAAGGTCAGGAGTGAGGTGTCTTACCCAGGTGTCTGCCTGCCTCAGCCATGTAGACACAGACACACCACACCGGTATTAGTTACCGCGACACCGATCTTGGTGTTGTGTTCTTTGTCACCAGGTGTGCAGCCAGCTTCTCTCGGAAGTCATGGAGGTAATTGTATTGCTGAAAAAGCACAACCAGATTTGCAGTGAGTGCTCAGAAGAGGCAGTACCCATCTTAAAAAGCCGTTTGATACCCCAGGATGAAAACTGCACCCTCTAGTCCATTTATTTGTTCTTCTTGTGCTTACTCCAAATCCCCTGGTATTTTTCACCATCAGACAGGGGTTATGTGGATATTGGCTTGGATCCTGTGGTTCCTCATAAGGGCCACAAATGAGCTCAAGGTAACACAAACCATGGACCTCATAGGCAGGAGTTTCATGTCAGAATTCAAAGCTGCTTTACTTGGGTCACCAAGAATATCACTCTCTCCATGAGTCCTTGATGTGGAACACAGCTAGTATCATGCACAACAGTTTGTAGTAAGAGTTCTTGGGTCAACTCATACATCATACGGAGTATTAATATGCTCAAAAAAGGTATGAGCTCAAAGTGAAATAAAACCACTGCTCAGCAGAGGCTGAAGGACAGATCATCAAACCCAAGTGTCTGTGAGGGCTTCTTTTCAGTCAAGGACACAAGCTGCCCCCCATTTGCCTCTTGGGTTGTGGAATACTGCTTTTCAACAGGTAGTTTAAACAAGATTTGCCTTCCAGAAAGGCTTAGAGCTAACAGAGACAGTCTTTAGGCAAGTCTTCCTCCTCAGAAACTACTACCCTGTAAACTTTTGAGCTGTCATATCCTCTTTCCTGTACACAGAACAGTTAAGAGCATAACATGTAGGACTCCTATCAACAGAAAAATGTATAGAGTAGCTGAAAATCCCACCAAAAGTAGTAAATCCCATTGTGCTCAGTAACTTAGGCCTCTGTCCATGTAGGTTTCACCACTAATGCTAGGGATATTTCCTAAAAGACCGCCAGTAGATTGATGTGATCACTACAGAAGATGAACATGGCTGGGTTAGGAAGGTGAACAAAACCAAGGCAGAAAAAAATCAAGCAGGTATCCAAGTTGTTAGTAGAATGTGAGCAACAGAGAAAGAGACAACAGCTGAGTTATGAGCGGGGGTCAGGAGAAAGCAGAAAGTTACTAATGATAGTGAAGAGCAGACAGGGAGAACAGCTGGTGAATTCAGCAGGGGCAGAACGAGACAGAATCAGCATGGAAGCAGAAAGCTAGAAGCAACTGAACCCTGGAGAGCAGCAGGGGCACCAGCTGTGGAGTATCTTGGAAAGACAGAGGGATCCCTTTGTGGAGGACTGTGTGAGTTTTCATTTCAGCACATGCATTACCTGCTCTAATTTCATTACCTTGATGGTCTGTATCGCCCCAGACCCTCTCAGGTTTCTGAGGCTGTCGATCACTTGCTGAGGTGCCAGAGCATCCGAAAGCTGAAGCAGGAGACATGCAGCTACTGTAAGAGAAAGGTACAGACACACACATGCTACTGAGCACCTCCCACTGGACACTGCACCACTTCTGCACGGTAATTGCTTTGTTCCATGAAAACCACTCCAGCAAAACTCAGCCTTGTCACAACAGGGTCACATCTGTAGGATCTTTTGCTGAATGCTGTTTCTTGACACTGGCCCTGTTCACCTGCTACTCCCGCCTAAACCTTCAGGCTTTGGAAATGGGTGAAAACCCTCTCACTGTTTCCCCCCTGCTTTTCTAGCAGCATTTGGGATGCAAATTCTAGGCTTTTCAAGAATCACAGCACACGCAGTTAATTCCCCTTTGTGTCTTCTGGCCACCTTTACTTTTTTGGTAGTATCATCACCCCTTCCTCACACAAGAAATAATGTCCCTAAAATATTTGGGGGAAACATTGCACTGAGGAAAGATGCAGAGGAATAGGTTCATCTCCTTTTCTTGAGGAGAAGTTCAGGGAGAAGTGCAATCCCATCAGTCAGAGAAAAGTAAAATTTGCAGTGAAAATGGAGAGTCAGAAAATATGAGAGAACTTTCCATCAGCCTCACTGAAAGACTGACCCTGCCTGACCCTCCTCACGTACAAACTCAGGTCTATAGTATGAAATACTTACGTCACTCATCCCAACGAGTTTCTATACAGGCAGCTAATGTTACTACCATTTGACAACACCTTTCACAAAAAAATGAGCCAAAATATATTAACTAGCCTGCTACCTGTAGCTAGTTTGCACTGTAACCACAGGTAAGCTTCAAGCAGAATTTGGCTCCTTTAGACAGAGCTGTCTCACGAGAATGGGTTTGTAAGATGGGTTAGTCAGGCATTGAGAGGGGAAAGACAACTGCTTACTGAGACATGAGCGTCCAAGGCCACCGTAACAGCTGAAAGAGAAGAACACATTTGGTTGTAACAAGCTGTAGTACACTGCAACACCCAGAGACCCCGTAATATATAAATTCATAGACAATTCTTGCCTCAATATAATCAAAAGGAGAAGTGGTGCAAAAAAGTCAGAATAAGAATTTCTACAGAAATACCTACAAGGCTATCTCCATTTATTCTTCAAACCTTCCTTAAGTAGTGTTTTTCTAGAGAAACCATGATTTTAACATTCCCCTTCATTGATGGTAATAGTCCTAATGGCACAGGAGGACAGAAAACAGCATGGACACCCTCAATTTTCTTCCATTCCTACTCCACATTAAAGCTTGGATGATAGCTGTGAGCAGGGTCCTGCATGAGCAGGGAGCCCAAGGACTCAATGGATATCTGTGTGAGAGCTGCCAGCAGGGTCATTCATGCAACTTGGAAAGCTCTTCCCCTCTACCCCGAGTTCAGCCATAGGTGTCTGAAGAAACAGCTTTAAACCAGTTTTATGCAATTTAAGAGTGAATTTTTGCGCTGCTGGAACCCACAAAGTCCCTGTTAAATAGCCCAGGGGTGTGGTAGCCTCTGAAACAGCTGCTTTAGTTTACAACTGTTGTATCCAGCTCATATCCAACTAGACTTGCAGCAACAAGACACATGGTGCAATCCAACACACACTTTGAAGGGCTTGCTGCACAGAGTAAGGGGAAATTCAAATCTTAGAAAGGACAAAATAGCTCCAAAAGGGTGCATGAGGAGAAACAGGCAGTTTTTCACACCTTGAACTAACCGTAAAGAATGAAACTGTTTGACAGGATTGTTTCAGCTGGTCACGCATCTAGAGAGAAGCTGGTATCTTTTACTGAACGTGGGGTGAAAGAGAGGCAACCAGAACCTACTGTATGATTGTTTTCCGGTTACTTTCCAGGCAGCTTCTGAGCTCCTCCAGGATTTTACAGCAGTTTGCAATGTCAGGAGCGTCCCCATCAGGAATAGGATAGTGGTGCACACAGATCCCATGCTGGTGGTAGGCATCTATTAGGTTGGGTACTCGGTATTTTAAGAGCTCTCCTCTGGTACAGAGCACAAATATATCCTGGGTTCCACAGCTCTTTAGTTCTTCTGCAAACAGATTAAGGCACTTGCAAATAAACAAAAGCCTGTCAAGCTTAAGGATAAATAGATAAGCTACTTGGTACTGATTTTCTCGTTTAATCTTTGAGGTTCAGCCAAAAGGAGTCAGCAACTTTGCTTTGAGTAAGATTTACTTCTGAGTCTCTCCCACATTTGCTTTCAGGTAAGCCATGACAGGAATTTTCTCAGTTCAGAGCGAGTCTTGAGACAAGCCTTATTAAAAGGCATTTTGGTACTTAGAACAGTCTGTTACTGCTGTTAGCTTAACCATGATTCTGTCCCATCTCCAGCTGTGACTGTGTCCAAACACTGTGGGGTTTTGAATCATAGAATCACAGAATGGTTTGTGCTGGAAGGCTCTTAAAGTTCACCCAGTTCCACCCCCACTCCCCCCCGCCATGGGCAGGAGCACCCTCCACTAGAGCAGGTTGCTCCAAGCCACTGTGTCCAACCTGGCCTTGAACACTGCCAGGGATGGGGCAGCCACAGCTTCTCTGGGCAGCCAGCGCCTCAGCACCCTCACCGGGAAGAACTTCTTCCTTATACCTAATCTAAATCTCTCCTCTTTCAGTTTAAAGCCATTACCCTTTGTCCTATCACTATATGCCTTTGTCAAAAGTCCCTCTCCAGATTTCTTATAGGCCCTTTTTAGGTATTAGAGGGCTGCTATTTTTGTTTTGCTATTAGTTTCTGCTCTTCTAGTGTCTATAGATGAATATTCAGCACAAATCTTTACATAATTTCATCTTTTCTATCCCAATCTCACTTTTCTCTGGGAAAAAGTGTCCTGGGTTCAGCTACAGCAGT